TTTCTTAAAAATTTGATGAACTATACAATTAGCCATCCACTATCAATACTTTTTTTTGGGCACCAAGAACAAAACGTTACGAATCAATTTTAAGTTTCTTTTTCATTTTAATCACTGGTGATTAAACGTTTCTAATCACACATGTCATCTACGAAACGATACATTTCATCATTGGATTGATCAGAAAAAGAAAACAAAAAATAGGTGTAGGACCTATGGCTTCAAATCAAAAGATGGACCGACGGAATGTTGGGGTGCAATTATACTTAGAAATTTTTTTATTTTTTATTGATAATTTAATTTCATACTCTTAATTATTTTTAAATTCATAATCATAAAATTTAACGTGATTTTTTTAAATTTATATCTCTAACATAATTCCTACGTAGTCCTACTCAAATTTTTTTTATAAAAAATCTTTGATTCGACTTGACCTAAATAATACTATATTATCTCGTTACATATATTTAAAGATAATTACTATAAAAAAACTCTTAATATATACGTTTCAATTGTCCTTGTAAATAAAAATGAAAAAGAATTATTTGTGTCTTCAACATGATTTTTTTAACAAATAAAGTCCGAATATTACGTTTCTCAAATTTTATGTATTGAATTATGTATAAATCTCGACACGTGACATCTACATACATGATCAAAATATTAATTATTATTTTTTTAAATCTTAAGCGTCGACTTATACATAAATGTTAACACATAATATTCTTTTAATAAAGTAAAATTTTAAGATTAGATGCTTCAAATCACATCAATTCATGTATAAAACTCAACACATGATATTTGCGTACATAATCAAAATGTTAATTATTAGTATTTCTCAATCGTTATGTGTTGATTTATGTATAAATTTTGACAAGTGACATTCTCTTAACAAAGTTAAGCTTTAATACTAGATTTCTCAAATCTTAAACATCGATTTGTATATAAATCTTGACATGTGACATTCTCTTAATAAAATAAAATCTTAAGACTAGATTTTACAAGTATCATGCATCGATTCATGTATAAATCACGACACGTGACATTTGTATATGAACTGAATGTTAATTATTGATACTTCTGAAACCTTATGCGTTATCTTATATATAAATTTTGACATGTGACGTTCTCTTAATAAAGTAAAGTCCAGATTATTTTAAACTTAAATAATTTATCCCTGATGCTAAATTTGTCTATGTAAGATTGTATACATCTTAACACATTACATCTACCTAACACAATAAAAATGTACAAGTATTTTGCATACCTTAGTATCTTGCTCTTCTCAGCCAATTTTTCCTTCAGCTCTCTCAGCCGCTCTTCTGTACCTTCTGGGCATTATCACTTGCATTTTGTGAGGAGCTGTTTTGTTCAAATTCCGACTCAGAATTTGCATACATTTTCTTCAATATCTTCATTCCAAAAAGTAAAAAAAATTAATTTTAATTGGAGATTAAAAAGAAATGTAAAAATTAAATTTTTTTTTAAAAAAAAACTCAAAATTAGGATTGGGAATTGGACATGCCTGCATTGTATATGCCCTGCTGGTGATAGTAAACATATACACAACTAAAATCCATCAGTTCCTCGGCAAAAGCAAATTACATATGGTTTTATTCACAGTTTACTCCCTGATCGTACCTATTTTCACACTTTGGTACCAATATTTTTTTATCATTTTGATACCTAAACTATTATATTTTCAACAATGTTAACATTGGATAGATATCAAAGAGAGCTTAAAAAAGCCTAGGTATCAAAATAAGAGAAATGTTTAATTTAGGGATCAAATCTATAGTTAACCCAGAAAGAAAGAGAGAGAGAGAAATCCAGTGTCTTATCAATGTTATCTACCTTTCTTCGCGCTCCTCGTATGGCGATTTCTAGAAACATCACTCAATCCCCTGTTTTTGATTATTTGAAAAGAGAAAAAATGTGAAAACCGAGCTTTAACAAGGAAGATAATCTGAGATTTTAATTGGAAAAAAAAGTAAATAATAATAATAATAATAATATAATAATAATAATAGGGAATGAAATTCTTTTTTACTTTTCTTGGCCAACAAACAGGGTTGGTTTATCAGTAGGTGAAAGAGTAACAGAGCAACATCAACATCAACATCAACATCAACATCGCACAAGATGGAAATCTCTTTTGCTTTCCTAACAATCCCAGTTTTACGCTTTGAATACGTTGCTTGCCTTGCTTTCATGCTCTCCAGTCTCTGGATTTCAGCTTTCTTCTTGCCATTTCTCCCACTGATCTCTGTTTTTCTGGGGGTTTTTTAAATGGTTTTCTGAGAGGAGAAATCGTTGTTTATATATGTAAATAAGAGTTGGAACCATTTATGATACAATAATTAGAAGAATCTAAGCTATTTTAGACACTTAATTAAATGTCACTTTTGCCAAATTTGAATACACACACGGAATTCATCGGTTCTTTGTCCGTTTTTGTTTCTGTATTTTGTATTTCCATTTAGGGAGGAGATAGGTTGAAGATAAACATAAATAGGGGTCTCAACGGTTTTTTTTTTTTTTTGGGGGGGGGTCCGACTCGGGTCTGCTTTCTTCTATCCTGTTTCGAGAAATCGAATCGAATACGGAGGAGTCAGATTTAAGCAACAATTAAAATGTAAAGGACACGAGATTTCCGGCTAGAGTTACATGACAATACCTGAAACTTTTATCTTTACTCGTCTCAGAAGTCAAGTCAGGCATCTATCAAGCCATCTCCCCATTCGTTAAGCTTCCATTCGGGAGTCTTGCCGATGGGAGATCGTCTATCAATGAATTACTTCCATGGTTCTCCTCCTCGTCTTGATCGGTTTTGCTTGGTTTAACGTCGATAACTTGGGGATCATACTCCGAGCCACATTAACCAGCTTCTCCATGCTAATAGCATTATCTGCAGTACAGCCGGGGGCTGTAGTCCCATAATGAAGATTGAATGCTCGATGTTTGGTACTGTCCATCTGCATGGAATGATTAAAACAATAATCAACTTCAATGAGAGATAAGAGTTTCACAACCACAAAATAGAAGATATCTTACCCGAGGCTCGATAGTTCAATTTGAAAAATAAAGGACCAACCATGAATTGGTCATCATCATCTCAATACACAAATTTATTAACCGGAACTTTAGTGCCGGTTGTTCGTAGTGGCAGTCTCCGAGTTAATATCAAGCACAACATATAATAAATCTTGTGGCATTCCATTTTACATTTGAGGAAGGGTATAAGTTGTGCACCTAGCTTTTGGGACAATCTTCACCGTAAATAGAGATAACAAAAAGTTCAAATGCATGATATTCCTTGTATCTCAAGAATCTGGTATATTCACAAACCCGGTGTATTACCAAAACTCTTCTAACATCCTACAAAATACATCTATCAAATAGAGATCTCGAAATGATTACATCTCTCCAATAAATGATTGCATCTCTCCAATAATTCTCTATATCTATAAAGCCAAACACTTGGTCATCAAGAAACCTTATTGCATAATAATTCTTCCCTAAATAAACTTATTCACCAAGTAATCGTCAATCACTAGAATTACACCAAAATTCAACTTTAATTACCAATTATACCAATTAAAACGAGTCAATACATATAAAAAATTCCAGATGGAAACTTGGAAAGGTATAATACCATAATCGTGGTTGTTGGGCCTGATAATGTGATAATTGTCTGCTATAAAGGTTCCACGAGATGCTCCGCATAAACCTTAAAAGCCGAAGAAGCATCAGTACAATATTTGCAACTATTCTACACACGGTTCATATTACGACATGAAAACAACCATAATAACAAAAAAAGTCGACAGCCAACTAGCTACGATGATTTAAGGCCTACAGGGATAGTCTATTTGCTTTTTATTGTAGATGTTCTAAATAACAAATGAAGGATTAGATTGACAATAAAATGTTCTGCACTACTAACATAAAGATGGAATATGCCATAATATGAAAGCCACTTATCATTTTCAAAATAGATCGGCACTTGAGACGTCATTTCGGAAGAATCTATGCATCGGGAAAACTTACAACATCTGTACCGATAACGTAGTCAAATGGTGGAGCAAGGCAACAGCTTTTATATGATCTTCATTTCTATAGTCCAACTCTGCAACCTTAATTGATCCAAATGAATCTATAACAAACATACTACCCACATGAGATAAAAAGTACAATACTGTCCTTAATTTCTCCGATGAAAAGTTCGGCCAAGGTTCTTTATGTCACCTTGGGGGGAAAAAGAAGGAAAAAAAAATGGAACTTAAATGAATTGTGTAAACTAACTTAGAAGAGCTGAAAAAACCTGCAGCTGAATTGGAATTCATCTGCATGATCCTTGAGGTATTGCGTTCTAGATTTCTCCTCAACAAGGGCACAAATTCAATTTGGTCCTACATCAAATCCCGGCAATGCCATTCCTGGAAATCATAGGTGAGTTCGATTAAGCACTGTCCGAGCAAATAACGCAGTCATAAAAGACCTCCCCATAACTTGACCACAAGTACTAATTGTACAGAATTATAAACTCGCCGAACCCCGCTACTCCACAACCTGCTCCAAGTTCAATGACACTTTAGTTTGGATGGGCAAAACCTTCCCTTTCTGCAGTTCTTTTCTTAAACAAGGAAAGAATTCAGCAACATGAACTTCTATACAGAAAAATAGTTAAGAAATAAATAATAAATAAATAAAGAAGCAAACCTGAGACATTTAATTTTAATAAAATGAGAGCAAAATCTTGCTCCCAGTTGAGGAGAGTACGTTGTAAGACTACGGAATATGAATAGAAAGCAGGTCAAGTTACACAGATTTCGGCCTTAGGCAAAGTAGTTTAAAATTTAGAGGGAAGGTAAGTTGACAACTTACACATGTAACAAAGTCAATCTCATATGGAGAAATTCTGAGGATCTGCAATGGTATCTACGTAGAAAACCGTGAAACTATACATGTGAGGTGCCTTTTCTGGTGCGAAACGTCAAATGTCCGGAACCGGATTGTCAAGGGTTTTAGACCCTGAAGTTTGCCGCGAGATCCTGCTGTGGGATTTGTTTAATAGGTGGGGGAACGCCCTTTGTGAATCTGCTTTCCTTGGCTCTGAGAAATTCTATTGTCCGCGCAAAGATTGCTCGGCTTTGTTGATTAATGACGGGGAAAGGATTATTCAGAAATTTCGATGCCCATTCTGCAAGAGAGCGGTTTGCGTGCGGTGCAAGCTAGCTTGGCACTCTGGTCTGAGTTGCGCTGAGTTTCAGGAACTCGAACCCCTTGGCCCGGATGCTCTGTTTGCTAAAGAAAGAAGTGGAAACGGTGCCCCCACTGCAAAACTATGTTGAAAAATCAAGTGGTTGCAATTATTAGAAATTTGCTTGTTTGGGTTTGATTTTGATGTGCAAGTAGTAGATGTTGAGACAGTGATTATGAATTTTCTCAGTTTTAATTTGTTGATGAACTTCTTCATTAGATGTTATTGATTTAATAACAGTAACAGTAGATTAATTATTAAATTTTAGAATAGTTAATTAAAATTTATTTTTAAGATCAGAACTATGATTAAAACATTAAGAGAAATCAATTGTTTAAGGCTAAAATAATAAATATTAATGTCAAAAATTGAAGGGCTGGACCTAATTTGACTGAAATCTAAATTAATAAGGACTTGAAGTATTATTAGACCACAAATTTGGAAGAGGCATGACTATCTCCCTGTTGATCTCCTCCACCATTAATCACGCACGCATAGCTTGTGATATATTGTACAAGTGAGATACTCCTTTGCTGCCATGACCATATGTAGGCTTGTGAAGAATAATAGGTTAACTAAATTGACCTATATTTGCTACAAAAGGGGAAAAAGGGCAAAAAACTATAATATGTAGGAGTAAGATATTCGAGTTTGGTAATAGTTGAATCAAATCTGAAGAATTATCAACTATATTTAATTAAAAATATATTTAAAATTTAAATTATGTTTGTATTCATTTATTTAAAATTATATATATTAATCTGTTTAATATTATGAATACTGAATATTATGTTTGTAAATGCTAAAATAATAATATACATGGATATTAAAAAATAGATTTATAAATAGATTTATGAATATATAATTAAATATATTTATGAAACTCATAAAATATAGTTTTACATATCGATGGGCATGAGACTCGAATCTGACGGGTTCCGATACGATCGAGTCATATTTTAAAAAAAAAATCAGGTTCGGGTTGGGTCAGGTCGTTTTTTAAAGGTGATAAGGGTGAAAAATACCCGACCCGAAAAAATATAATTTTACCTTATATTTTTAGAAATAATTACAATATACCCTATATATTTTTTTTTCAATTAAATCGCTATTATTATTGAATAAAAATAATAGTTTTATTATTATTTCGGGTCGGTTTCGGATTTTATCTAAAAAATTCAGATCAGGTGAAAGGTATATATTTTTCGGGTCAGGTCAGATCGGGTCAGGTGAAATATTTAAAATTTTTAGGTCGGGTCGGGTCGGGTCAGGTTGGCTGAAACCGACCCAAACGCGACCGATGTCCATTCCTAGTTTTACATGAAAAAATTATAAATTTATTATATGTTGAAATTAATTTTTTTAAAAAGAAATTTTGACTCTATTTTATTAGGATATGCAGAATTTAAATAATTTTGTTGTCATTTCATTTCCCTTGGTTATTTTTCTCGTTTATGTAATTCGAATTCAAAATCTACTTAAATATATCCTTGCGAGCCCAAACTCGGAACCAAGCTTGCCAGACAAGCCTCCACTCTATAACCTTTTGCCGCTCATTCGAACTCCTTTCAAAATTATTTCGTTTCCCTCCACCATCATCATCCATTCCCTTTTCTCCTCTTTCCATTTCCCTCCGCCTGTTAAACCCCCTCTTTCCGAAGCTCTGATCGCTCTAAGCCGATCCTTGGGTTGATTCTTGGTGTGGTCGGCGACAATGGAGCAGCAGAGAACCCAAAGATGGTTCAACAACAAGAGGAGTCTGAGGAGATGCAGCACGGCCCCTTCCCTGTGGAACAACTTCAGGTGAAAAATCATCTACTGGGTTTTTTTTGTAAGATTATATTAGAAAATAAGATTCTTTTCTATCTGGGTTTTTTTTCCTAGTTGCTGAAAAGATGTTCCTTTTCTTGTCAAGTTTGAACCATAGCATATGAAGATTTTGTTTATAGAAATGAGAGTTTAATTACATTAGATGAATAGTTGAAGCTTGGGTTTCTGGTCAAGTTTGTTCATCATTGAATTGATCGATTTCAGATTCAAGTTGGATCGGAATTGGCATGTCTTGGCTTAAAGTAATAGCCTTGTATATTATTCTTATTTTCATTTCTTCAATTGAAGGCAACGGGAATTGCAGCCCTAGACGTAAAGAAGCTCAAGGATGCAGGCCTTTGCACGGTTGAATCTGTTGCTTATACCCCAAGGAAAGATCTTCTTCAGATCAAGGGAATCAGTGAAGCTAAAGTTGAGAAGATCGTGGAAGCCGGTATGTTGTTTCCACAATTATGTTGTTCCATCAGTTTTTGTTGATGATATTTTAATATAATTTGTAAATAGATTTGAAATTAAAAGGCTTTTAAGTCTTCCTTGGTTCTTGACAGCTTCCAAACTGGTCCCCTTGGGTTTCACCAGTGCTAGCCAGCTCCATCTCAAAGGTTGGAGATAATTCAGATAACATCCGGGTCAAGCGAACTCGATAAAATTTTGGAAGGTACTTGTGCTCTGATGTGTGCAATTTTTTTAAACTTTGATTCCCAATTTGTTCCATCTGTTAGGAGATCAATTTTATGTCACTGCACTCTAACTTGGTTTTCTCTATGACAGGCGGAATCGAGAGGATCCATTACTGAGATATACGGTGAGTTCGTTCCGGAAAGACTCAGCTCTGTCACACATTGTGTGTAACATGCCAAGTAAGAACTTTTCTCATCATTCACCGAGTTGTCTTGTACCTCATGCATATGCCAAGTGAGTCCATTTGGCCAGCTGCTAATTTTGTATGACATTTCAGCTTCCATTAGATCAAGGAGGTGGTGAGGGAAAAGCAATGTACATTGATGCTGAAGGGACATTTAGACCACAAAGACTCTTACAGATAGCAGAGAGGTGATTGCCGGCTACCATGATAATAACTGTACTGCTATTATGCTATGTGGCAATATCGATAGCTAACACCGTCCTTGAATGTTGCAGGTTTGGTCTGAATGGTGCCGATGTATTGGAGGGTTTGGTCTGAATGGTGCCGATGTATTGGAGAATGTGGCCTATGCTAGAGCATATAACATGACCATCAGTCTCGCCTTTACTTGAAGCAGCTTCAATGATGGTGGAAACAAGGTATTGGTAAAACATTTCTTATAAGTTGGGAAAACAAGCTGAATGCTATATAGATTATTGATCATTTGACGGATTCTTAACAGGTTTGCGCTTATGATAGTCGATAGCGCTACTGCCCTTTACAGAACAGATTTTACTGGAAGGGGTGAACTGTCAGCCCGACAAATGCATCTGGGAAAATTTCTTAGGAGCCTTCAGAAGTTGGCAGATGAGGTTAATATATCTGTATTTACCTTGAGTAATGCATTACTTTCATGCAATGATAATGAGATGCTTAGAGATTTCCCAGTTTATCACGTTTTTATGTGCATTTTATGTGACCTTAGTTCGGTGTGGCTGTTGTAATTACGAACCAAGTAGTCGCACAAGTGGACGGTTCTGCAATCTTTGCCGGACCTCAAATTAAGCCGATTGGCGGTAACATCATGGCTCATGCTTCCACAACAAGGTTTGTCATGGAAACTGAAGGCCAAATTTATCCCTTCTCTCCAAACTACTTTTTCTTTGAAAGCTACCACTAAGTACAATCTTGTCACTGTCTGTTTGTCATGGAAACTGAAAGGCCAAATTTATCCCTTCTCTCCAAACTACTTTTTCTTTGAAAGCTACCACTAAGTACAATCTTGTCACTGTCTATATAGATTGGCTCTTCGGAAGGGAAGAGGGGAGGAACGCATTTGCAAAGTAATAAGTTCGCCTTGCTTGGCCGAGGCCGAAGCTCGATATCAGATATCTCCGGGAGGTGTTGCTGATGTTAAAGATTGAGCTGTTTCAGCTTATTGTTTCGTAAACAAGTTGCCGCTGAGCTCGGTTGTATTGATGAATCGATATATGTTTTTTTTCCTAGCCATATGCTTCTCCCATAACTATGCACTTCTGTATTGGATTATTTTCATATATTTCGATATTTATTAATTTAAACTAAAAAATAAAGTTCAGAATCAGATGTCAAATTAAACCAATACCAAATTCGTGTATGTAATTTGATTAAAAAATATTTAAATAATTGAACCTTTATATTAAGTTCTTGTATTTAACTGAACCAAAATAAAGTTTAAATATTAAAATCAATTAAGATATCAAAATATGTATTTATCCATGAATATATATCTATATATATATATGATATTAGATTAAAATAAGGAAAGAATAATTTATTATTCCACAACCGGCTTAAAAAAATGGCTTTAGATACAATTGCTGGCATCGTTTAATGAGCATAATCAAATAGCTAAGGTCCGTCTGGTCCATTAGAACCAGACTCCCTGGAAAAGAAGAAGAAGAAAACAACAAAAAAATGGCGACAAATACAGTAGCTATGCCTCCGAACTTTCCCAAATGTGAAGCCATTTCCAAAGGCTATAACTTCGCTTCTACTTGGGAACAGGTAATCTTTCTCTCTTTTCTTTTACCTCTTGAACTTACTCTTCAGAACTCAACAATGTTTGCCTTCAAACTTCGAGATTTGAGCCTCTTCTACTTTAGATCTGCTCTAATTTTATCTCTACGAGCTTAAAAACGTTCAAATTATAACTATTTTGATTTGATTCTCTTATTTCGTCTTTAAATCTAGCAATTAAAAGATCCGATCTCTTAACCGGAGCCGTAATTGTAACTGAAATGTGATCACATTATTTTTCGAAGTAATATGTGATATTATTGTTGATAATTACCAGAAGAGTTGATAACTCTTTCGTTTGAAAATCGAATCTGATGTGTGGAATTGAATGCGCTGTTTTAGATTTTTGTTTCTTTAATTTGATTCACTTATTCGTTTGAAGATCGGATCTGAGGTGTGGAACTGAATGCGCTGTTTTAGATTTTTTTTCTTTAATTTGATTCACTTATTTTGTTTTGTGTTTAGAATGCGCGTTTGACGGAGCAGCAGCAAGGAGCAATACTGATGCTATCTCATGCTATTGCCGAACGGCCCTATCCGGCCAATTTGGTGAGTAACTATCTTGCTTGGTGGTTACCTTTTTTTAATTGCATTATGAATGTGTTTGTGAGAGATGTTTTGATTATTCTGTTGTAGGCTCAAGAGAGAACCTCTGGCCAAGATACTGGCTTGTTTGTTTGTACAAAGGCTAACAATTTCGGTGATTCTGGAGCTATTGAGGCAATTTTGGTTAATACTAATCAGGTAAATCAAATTTATATATCGTGTAAATTGTACATCTAATCTTATGTGGATGGTTACATTGTTTTGTTCTTCTGATGATCTAATTTTACTAGGTTTTTATGAAATGATGAATTTGGATCTAAAGAACCTCTGGCCAAGATACTGGCTTGTTTGTTTACAAAGGCTAACAATTTCGGTGATTCTGGAGCTATTGAGGCAATTTTGGTTAATACTAATCAGGTAAATCAAATTTATTATATATCGTGTAAATTGTACATCTAATCTTATGTGGATGGTTACATTGTTTTGTTCTTCTGATGATCTAATTTTACTAGGTTTTTATGAAATTGATGAATTTGGATCTAAATGTTATTCTTCTCTTTCTGTGCAGTTTTAAAATGGTTCAGACCTTGAATCGGCCATGTTGTCGGAGGTTAGAAGCAGTTTTATAAATGGTTCACAGACCTTGAATCGGCCATGTGGTCGGAGGTTAGTGGTGATATTTAACTGACCACCTTGTTTCCGTTTTCTTCTCTGAATGAAATCATGGCTTGATGCTATTGGAATTTTTTCAGATTTGAGTGAGTAATTGTGTAAATCTTTTATTTTGTTCCTATAGGTAACAGCCGTAAAAGTTGCATTATCTTCTGGTACTCGGAATAAAAAAATAGACTCGGTTATGGCCAAGCCACTCAAGGAACAAGCCTTTGCTACACCGGAAAAGGTGGCTGAACTCGTTCGGAAGGTGTGTCGCATCTTTAATTCATGTTTTGCCAACCTATTTTGGAGGTTACAGTTTGAGTTGGTTTTTGAAGATTCGCCATTCTTTTTAGTTGCAAATCTTTTCATACTTTCAGAGTTTGGATTCACCAAATGATGATTTTCATTTCTTGAACAGGTAAATTCAGCCGTTCAGCAAGAACCTTCCACTGGTGACAGCGAAGATGAAGCTTTATTTACAGAACCCAACAACACGGACAATTCTTTTAAACCAATCAAAGTAAGATACCATCCCGAATTTATAACATTAACTCCATAGTCGTTGACGTAATCATAGTTTTCTAATCTTGAAGCGAGTTTTGGATGATTCGGATTCTTTAGCAGGCTTTTGTACAATGAACCAAGATGATTGTTTATATTTATGCTGGACGATTATCGTGGAAGCCCATATCCAAGTTCAATCACTTCTAAAATCAGAGTATTCTACAGAGGAAAAAAGCACCATCAGCATGGTGGACATTCAAGAACTGGAAGCACAGCTCGACAATCTCGTTTAGCTATTGAAGCTCGTTCAAGTATTTTTTGCCCCTCAATCCAAACCTTTTCAGGATGTTTTGGTGATATGTTCAGTTTGTTCATAAGGTTATGTAAAGAATGCTTTATTCTTCTCAACTTTCATTTTGTTAAGTTCATTTTTTGGTCCTGCCACAAGAGCATTAAGTTCCGTTCTTAGTCTTACTATCTTGGTAACAATTGATGGAAAATGCTTATTTTTTCGTGATACAATTAGGGATGGATCGGGTTTTTATCCTATCCGAATCTAATCTGAAATTTATATTCTTTACCTGTTGTTTGACTCGAGTTAGGAAGATTTTACTTGACTCGAAACCTAACCGGTTTGGGGGGTTAAAAATCTACTCGACTTGATAAAAATGTGTGTGTATATATATATTATTTTTATTTGGTAAAGGGACTTTATTGAAAAAAATATAGATAAGTATTATTATAATTATCTCAAAATATATAAAATATAATTACATTACTATTATGGTTAGGTTGGGCCGAAATATTTTTACCCTAAATATGAATTTGATCTAATCCGATTTGAACTTGAATTTTAAAAGAGTCCGACTTTATAAAATTGGATAAAAAATCGTTAAATTTGAATCCTATGTCCATTCCTAAATACAAAAACAACTTATAACTTCTTAAACCGAACTGAAGTAATTGGTGGTAAAATTCACTCGCGTCTTTTAGATTGTTGCAACTTGGAAACAAGAATAATATAATCATACAGTTACCTATGTTATAACCACATGTAACTATTTAGTCCATTTTGTTAAGCATTGCAGTAGGCAAAGCTTGAAACAAACAGAATACCAGAAAATATATTTCATTAAGCATGAGTTAACATCACCTAGCCTTAGCTTCTTATAGCAGGTTCATAACAAACTTTAACAAACTACTACTTCTAGAATAGTTTCCTAACAGCCTTGACACGTATGCAAACTATATGCATTAGTTATAATCCAGCTCCCAATGTATGCCATGCATGAGCTACTAGACCACGTGGATAGCACCCTCAGCTTCCTTATGTATCTCAACACATTTCAATTCTGGGGAAGCTAACTAATTAGCAGACTTGCGAATTAAACATAACCAAAGCATTGCCCTCTCTGTGCACCTCATGTTTTGAGACTTATGTAAGAAAAGGAGAATACGAATAGAATATTAGTCTTCTGATTGTAGTTTAAATGATTCTTAAAACCATTTTCCTTGTGCAATGTTTAACGGATTCTTAAGGCATTAAGAGATACATAAATATTCAAAGAAGGTAGTTTTAACTTAAAATTTTCATAAAGCAATTTAATAGATTAGAAAATAAATTATTTAATAGACAGATAATATAAATTTTAATTTACATAATTCTATTTATTTTGATGTCAAAATCTAAAATGTTAAACTATAAATATTAATCTCCAAATCTTAAATCTTAAAAAATTTAAATTTAAATTAGACGATTAATGTTAAAATGAACATATTTATATAAATTAAATCTTATAAAGTATATCAAATAATCTTTCAAAATAAATGGGATCATGAGAGATAACATGTTTGTAACACATTTTACAATATACTATTATCACACACACAAAGATATTTTCCATATAATTGTGTGTAAAAGATGGGAGTCAAATGGGCATTACTGACTCGGTAACATCAGCCTTGTCAGGATATCGAGTGACCGAGTCAAAAAAAAAAGGTGACGGTGGCTTTATCTTGGTGTAGAAAATACGATGGGTGCCGGGTGGCTAACGTCGAAGGCGAATAGCAACCGAGTGCACAGTGCCGACAAAAGGTGAACAGAAGACCATGTTGCGTTGCGTCCATTTGGGTGTAGAAGGACAGCCCGTAAACTTTGGAATTTGATGATTGATTTGTACAAAGACACACCACTTGCTAGACCAAAACAAAACTTTTAACAGAGGAAAAGATCTTCCCACTCCTGACCTTGGGTCCAGAAGATCAACAACTGCCCCACAATTATTTTTCCTTGTTTCAAATTCTTCTCAACCTTCTTAGTCAAAGAAATAAACTCACCTACAGATATTTCTTACTAATATTTTTAAAATATTATTTTTAATAGAAAAAAATGAGATTACGATATTTATAGACGATTTACTCTTGACTTGAATGAAGAATCGTAGTCAATGATTATGTGAAGAAGATGGAGAATAATGAGTTGAGGAAGATAATAAACAATGATAAGTTAAGAACGAGAGAGTTTATTTTTTCCTCTTAATCTTCCCTGATGATTTATATATTAACTTTTGGTGTTAGTGTCATACTCATGGTTATGATAATTATTTGTAGTTTAGTAGGACAAATTAACAAGACTATCATAAAATAGATTCAGTCTTGACAAATTAAAAGGATCTGTCAATTATCTTGTCAAAAAATCGTGATCAGAGATCTAAAATTTTTAAGATACTTAAAATTTTCGGAGACTTTAATATACGAAGAAGTGAAAATAAAAGAACCGTTTTTAAAACTATTTTCGGATGAGATTTTGAGGAAGTATAACACTTACTGTCACTAGATCATGATGTGGACTTGAATGTAATTTTTGAAATAGTATAATTCAATGTTAGAAATCAAACTACAGAGGACTAAAGCGGTCATTTATATTTTTATCAAATCCCATCGTCATACGGGAAATCAGTAGAACCCAACCAAGCTTCACCGATAATAAACTCCGACACAGTATAATAATATGCATCGTCGTATTGCATAACGTGAAAACCCGGCCAACTGACCCGATTATCCGTCCCTGAACCCGGACCGTAATTACTATACTCTCCGTAATAAATGGTATCCAAGCCTTGGTCGTCAGACCTGGAGTCCATCCACTCGGACTTATAAAATCATCAATATAGGATTCAATGTAAACTGTTGTCGAGTATATCCTCCACGGCCTTCCTAGGTAGCTTTTGATGGTACCGGAATTCGCATACAGTTCGTCGGCGGCAAGAATTGAACAATTTTGTATCGAAATCCCAGTGTTTTCATCATTGCGCTGTGATCACCGTGAACTGGCCGGGCATCGGCATTCGGGAGATTATGTTACATGCTTGGAAAATTACTGCTGCATTACCAAATATGTAATCTATGGTGCCTGATATGTCGCATTCGCGATAGAATTGTCGAAAAGAATGAGCGTATAATGTATCTTGGTAACCATTGATGGAGCATTTGTATAATGCGACGAGATCTGCGTTTACTCGCAATGCAACTGCTTGGTGTTTGGCAGGACCTGCGCTGTTCTCGATTGTTATATCCCGAGCTAAAAAGCCGTCGCCAGACACAGCTGCAATGAGAACCAACCATTTAAACTTAAAATGCCTCGTAAAATAAGTAACTAGAAATGACCCGAATTCGAGTGTTAAACTCAAATAAAAGACTCCGATCTAAAATATCAACAGAGAAACTCGAACAATCCGAAACCAAAAACTAGAGGTACAAGTTCTTGAGAGATTACCAACAGTTGCTGATCTGAAAGTGGTCCAGCCATCAACCACGCTTCGATTACCAGTTATGAAAGTGGCATTATTTCCATCTCCAAGAAGAACTATGTTAGTTTTATGGCTTGGGATTTCCACATTCTCTTCATAAACCCCTTCTCTAACATATATTATGACTCTGTCATAACTATTGTTGGGAGCAAAGTTTATAGCATCGTTTATGGTACTGAAATTCCCTGTTCCATCAGCCGCCACAGTGATCACCTCACTCGGATCATATTCATCGTCGCCGCCCTGCAAAATCCGTCGACCTTTCTGTTTCATCCAGCTCGGAAACCCCAATAGGAGACGATTTTTATGGCCTTTTTTACCTGTTTTGGGAACCATTGAAAGAGAGTTGCTAACTTGCTTGTAAATATTCCCCAAAGAGTTCACCAACACAGGTTTGAAAGACCCAGAAGCCGAATCCAATCCTTGTAAGCATGTGTTGGTGTTCGTAAGAGTTGCACTTAGATAAGATCTTGCATCGGCTAGCTGCTTCGAGTCACCTGATTTGATTCTCGAAACTGATTTTTTCAAGGAAGATACTGTGATACCATGGAGTTCATTGCAATCTTGCATTGTCCCCTTTTGTTTTTCGATGACATTGCTTGCTCCTCCTCCATTGAAGAGATGATTTGTGAGCTTTCCGGCTTCGGATAGTGCGGTGTCGAGTGTTTGAAGAAGGTAGTTGAATATGCTGGGACTGATGTTTATTGAAACGGAAAGCTTCAATGAATCAAAACAAGCATCAGGGTATGGTTTCGATCGACAGAAATTTCGTATCGAAGAGAGATTGG